AACGTCAAGAGGGATGTCAGGTATGGGTCTATTGTGTGTAATGTCAAAAGTGACGTCAGGTATGGTTCTATTGTGTGTAGCGTCAAGAGTGACGTCAGGTATGGTTCTATTGTGTGTAGCGTCAAGAGTGACGTCAGGTATGGTTCTATTGTGTGTAACGTCAAGAGTGATGTCAGGTATGGGTCTATTGTGTGTAATGTCAAGAATGATGTCAGGTATGGGTCTATTGTGTGTAACGTCAAGAGTGATGTCAGGTATGGTTCTATTGTGTGTAACGTCAAGAGTGACGTCATGTATGGTTCTATTGTGTGTAACTTTAAGAGTGACGTCAGGTATGGTTCTCTTTTTATTTTAAAGTCAAGAGTGACGCCAGGCTATTGTATGGTTTTTATTTTTTTTGCACGTCAAGAGAGATGTCAGATTATCGAATGGTTCTATTTTTTTTATATCACTTGTTATTATAGCCATTCTGTTACTTATGTCATGACTGATATGGTAAAATATGTAGATAACGCCTAGAAAAATTGGTATATCAGTACTTTTGATCTCGGATACAAATAAATCTTGCAAATGAAAATGAGTTTTATTTTGTTAAAAAGATTAATCAGATAATCATTTCGTCCAGGTAAGATTATAAATTATTGTCACTGCATTTTGTTTAATTCTTACACATATCACCAGACTAACGTTATTCCAATGAGCACTAGCTATGCGTCATTTCTATACTAGTAGATAAGTTTTGTATAATTGTGAAGGTGAACTTACAAAGCTTTCTAAATACATAATATCAGATGATTGTACTCTAACGAAATGAAGATTGATAATTTGAAATAAAGGTTAGTATAAACTCATCTTCAGCTTCATATCTTGATATTTACTTGTATATTAGGAATTAAAATTAGTGCTCATTCCAGCACTTAAGTTCTGTGTCAAACATTACTGCTTGAATTTCGCCATCGTTGATTTACCTTTCCTCAGAAGTATCATAGCAGCTTTTCCTGTTGATATCACAGTTGATTGCTATACATTTGTTTACGTATGGAAATGTTAATTTAAAGATTTCATACTGGTAGCCGCTAGTCAATCAGAGAGTGTTATATGCTTTTGTTCAGAAACAGGATATATACAGCATCGTCTAATTTATATCAAAAGGCTTCTATATATGTCATCATACCGATATTGTGTACTAAGTTTGTATTATATTCAGCGTTCGACGCGTTACTATATAATGGTTCTTAATGTTTCAGAAAAATGTTACTTAATTACATACAGTTATATCAATATTATAGGTTATTTTTATAAAGACGTTACTTAATAACATACAGTTATATCACTATATGTTACGTCAAAGAGTATGCACATTTTAGAATCTTCATTGTTAAGTTACTGTTATATTATTTAGTTTTAAAAATGTTACATACTTAAGATACAAGAACATTTGCATGTACTAACTTCATTCAAAAGACGCCGAATATGAATATATTATTACAGTTTTGATAAAGATGCTAGTTTATAAAAAATACAGATATATTTTTAGATGTGATATTGTTGTTCAGTCACCAACCTGTCTTAGCAGCATGCTGTATATGACATACTATTTTCTGTTTTCACAAGCTAGGTAGCCTAGTTTATCGATTCATCCTATGTTTATTTATAGTGTTGTCGTTTTGATTATGGTCGTCAATTAATGTACGTTTGTTTGACACTTAGCAGGTTTCATTGTTCATTGCAAAGCCATGGAAGTTATCCAATTTCGCAAGACCCTAGTCATCATCAAAGAGCGATAGAAGGGGAATAACTCCATGATCATAGTGGCGATGTTTGGTAATCTCCAATTGGTTAATTATTAAGACCCAATGCATTATGTGGCGGTGCATACAGTTGAATCGATTTTATTTTGGCATGAATTTTGTATACGTACAAATGAACAATTTTTCAAGAAGTTTCAAAGCAAATCAACGTGTCCTTTTATTTACATTTTTGAATTTATCAATGTTTCTTTATATATATATATTATTTCTCTTAACTATTGTTTCGCAGGCTCCTAAAATATGAATCATTATATTAAGCCAAACTCTCAAGAACAAACTTGGTTTTTCAACTTTTTAGATTATCAATTTATTTGTTTTCCGTGTTTTTAATAACACAAAATTATACTTATTTTACTAGAAAAAGCAGTCAAAGGGAGACAAAAGTAACTATTTTGTATCAAATTAATGGTACTTGATCAAACTCCTTTAATCTAACAGCTAAATATTGATACTCTCCACATCTTCAAACAACAGCTTGGTACAACTCTTTTATCACATATTTACGTATTGGCGATCAATAAATCAATAAATCAGTCAGTCAATCAATCAATCAACATTTCACCTCCTCCCTCTAGAGATCCAGATAAGTCAAAAAGAAAAAGAAAATTTCAGTAAAATGACCTTTATATATCACTTAACAACATGTTTACTTATTTCCTATGGAATCTTAATTTACGTCCTAATGAAACCTTTATTTAGATTACTGTAAAGTCATTGCACTCCTTATACGAGTGTTTGTTAGAACAGTTGGTACTCGTTTTAAGATACATAGCAAAACAATGTTCCACTCATTTTAATACCATTTATTTTAGAGAGATCGTATTTATTTTAAGAACAGCGTTTAACTTATTTTCAGATCGTATATTGAGAATTTTAATTAAATTTTATCAAGAAAAACAACATTACTCTTATATAAAGACTGCTCGTAGGAGAAGTGTTTTGCTCTCAATATAGGACTGTACACGTATATTGGAAAAAATGTTTTCTCTTTTTAACATTATATATTAGCACAGTTTTGTTCTCATTTTAAGATCGTGTATAAAGCAACTTTTGCACTCATTTAAAGACTGAATATAAGAACAGGCTTGGACTTATATTAAGATTGTATATTAGAAAAGCTTTCACTCTTTTTGGAAAGATGTTTTCTCTTTTTAACATTATATATTAGAACAGTTTTGTTCTCATTTTAAGATCGTGTATTGGACAAGTTTTGCACTCATTTAAAGACTGAATATAAGAACAGGCTTGGGCTTATAATAAGATTGTATATTAGATAGGCTTCAACTCTTTTAAAGTTTTACGCCCATTTTTAGATTGCGTATATCAAAAATCCTTTTATTATTTGTATTAAAATTGCCAAATTTTAATAATTTTAAAATAAGTTATTAAATTTTAAAATTTTAAAATTAAAATTATTTGTATTAAAATTACATGGCGGGACAGCTTTGTTCTTATTTTAAGACTGCACAGTTAAACGTTTTACTCGTTTTAAGACTGATGTGACAGAACTTTTTAAATCCATTTAAAGATTGTATAGTAGAAAAGTTTCTTTTACTTATTTTAAAACTGTATATTAGTAATGTATTTTACTAATTTTAAGACTGTATATTAGAAAAGTATTGTACATGTTTTTTGTACCGTTGTTTAGACTGTACACTAAAAAGTACTGTTTTTTAAGGGTGTATATTAGACCATTCGACGACTTGTTTTGTGAGGCAACAAAATGTCAGCATTATGAGAGAAATATTTATATGTTTCCACTGTCCATTGAAGGGTCTGCATTAATCTTTTTGAAATATATCCGATAAGGTTAATTTCATTTGAAAATCATCAAGAAATTTCCAAAATAATAAAAATAATAAAAGCTTACATATAGAAACCTAAAACAGCCAAAGCGCCAACAGAATCGTAATTATAACTAAAAAATGATAAAGGTAAATGGCAAGACATGACAAGGAAATAAAGACGTCCATTGTCTTTAACGGCACGCTTTTAATTTAGTCAATGTATTTGGAATTAATTATTCCCGAAGTAAATAATTGATTACTGGAAAACTGTCGAGTGTCGATTGTTAACTCGTAATACTTTCACGATTGGTGTTATTTGTGAGGATTGTGTAAACGACCGGGACAGTATTGGTGATATTGACGACTAATGAAAACTTTATGAGAGAGGGAAAACATCATACTGATGTCCCATGCTATTACGAAGTAACATATATCAATTCCGGGTGCTAGTCACGTAAGTCCCGGAAAAGTGAGTTGCTTTCCTATTACTCTGTGCTGATATTATCGACATATAGTTCACAAGCACTAGCCTCTTTTTAGCAAAGATGGGATTTCTTGACATTTTTGTGTTGTTTTATATGCTTTTAACCATTTTTATGGCAGGCACAACGTTCTTGTCATCGGGTATTATTATTCCTGTATAATTATATGATCTTACTTACTAACAAATGAAACTGAAAAACCATATAGTTGTATATCTATATAATCTGTACTTGAGGTTTTCGTTTTTCAGCTAATGCACTTCTGAAGTCTAGTTTCCATTGTAAAAAACACTGCAACAACATCCATTTGACAATATATAAGTCAAACAGATGTTCTAAGGATATAAAGATATTTCTGCGGTCGCCATATATGTCATACTGCCGTTGCAGTTTTAAGGATTTGTTAACTTGTGTGCGGTTGCCGTACAAATGTTCAACACCCAACTACCAATAGTTTAGTGGATCGCAGGGTCGTATGGATCTGGGTGCAGTCAACTTGTTGATGTTGAACTGCAGTATTGTGTGTGCGGACGCGATAACAGTTGGGTCTTTTACCAGAGCCGTATTACCAAAGTTGTTGTCAATAACCTTTGCTTCAGGTCATTGATACCAAATACAATTTATACAAACTGGATTTGTTCCACTTTGTTGGATTCCAGATTTGACTGGAAGCTGAAGTTATTATCCTTGTGATAGTCTTTTCTAACATTATTTTTCCTCTGATAGCAAAGTTTCGTCTTCATACACGTAGCATTGTTGTCAGACTGTATCAAACGCTTTCCTGGTAGGCTTGAAAGATATAAAACTTTGATTCTGTTTTTAAAAGCAATCATAAAAAACCAATGTGTTTGGTTAATAATTAATACGAGTTAGATATTTTCTTATATATAAATGTACATAAACAACAATACGGAGAGCACTGACATGATGTTATTATATTGTTTATTTCAATCATTGGTACCAGCGGTCAATATAAGGCACATGTTAAATTTATACCAACACTATATAACTTTCAGCAGTAAAGACTGACAAATATCGTAAGGTCTGTACCTGTTTTAGTTGTAGTACCAGCATGGTGTACATTGTGAGTATTGGTTTACACGTACATATAGTCTCACTGATTGGCAATGTATGAAATCTTGATACTAGTAAAAAATATCGAATCGAAAGTACTTCTATATCATCTGTTATTTTTAGATTTACTAATTCAATGAGCATATAAAGAATGAAAAGAAAAAACTATTTTTTCGACAGTGATTGATGATGAAAGACGTTGATATAAATTTTGAATATTACATTCTTGTTATAGGCACCACCGCTTTTCATTTAACTAATGTCAAAAGCATACGGCAGGTATTAAAAATCAATTAAAAATAAAAAATAAATAGTTTCTAATTGTTCAAATTTTCAATTTTTGTTTTTGTCATATTAATTTGCTAAATCCAGATAAACTACATTCATATCTAAAAAAAATATACAAACATGCAATGACCCAAGTACACGTGCATTGAATATGTTCTTATACACTTTTGAATAAAACGAGACTGTATTGATTATAAAAATGCAAAAATATAACAAAAAATGAATAGCCACAACAAGACAAGTTAAGCTGTGATTATTGACTGAAGTTCTATCATTACGCACCTGTTTTGATACCACACGTACACTCAGAAACTTCTGAACAAAAAAAACGAATTAATATCATTAACATGAATACAGACACTGACCATAGTAAATGCTCAAGCTAAATTGAGAAAGCAATAAAGATACATTTTCTTATATATATATTTCATTGCGTAACTTTGTGACAATTTTGACGCATAATAATACATGTGGATTACTGGTATTTGCAATCAAATGCATTTATCAAAAACGTCTTAAAACAGGTTTTTTTATATAAGATATATTAGATGCCAGCAGTTGTCGACTCATCAGGAAAACAAATGGCTGAATAAAATTACATATCCACGCCAAACATATGTAACTATTAATAATAAAAGAAAATTGTTTGTTATGTGTTATTTTATATTCACTTACCACATCTATCAGACTGCACACGCATTTCGAATTAATTCTGATGTAATATATTTGACACTAGTGTTTTCGAGAGTAATGATTTTTTTCAACCATTAGTAAATAGTAAGCCTATCTTAATATATATAACTCAAGTAAATATATAAAAAACGGATTATTTACAAATCACTTGTATTAAAACTTCATTGTAAAAGATGGATTTCATTAAGGCTGTCAAAGTGATATTAGTATTAAACTCTTTACTCTTAAATTCGTCTGTACAAAAATATTACATTCAATTTTATCACAAAGAAAAACTGCAGACATCTACATATTTACACATTTGCTTTGCATACTTGTATCAATGACAAATCAATTTTCAATTGTTTTTTTTTCACAGAATACTGAACATGAATATTCCTGTCAAAGTTATAATCCCGTTTTGTTTATACATACTATGACAACCAGATGTCATAGAGTTTTTTACTTCCGCCACTACGATCTCAGAAGCTTTCATTTGATTAGCTACAAACACCCAATCATTGTGTTCATTAAATCCCGGAAGACACTTTGCGCATGGCCGGTTAGGTACTGATTCGACGAAGCTATCAAGAGATTCCCTCATGTTCCCCAGAATTCCCGGTGGCGGAAGCGGAGGTGGTGGTAGATTGTCACAGTCGCAGTTGGCAGTAGGAGTTGGTGAAGCTGTCAAATCTGAAGGGAAATTTTGATTATAATTAACAATAGTATGATGACAACTTATCGCATGTTTATAATTTCCAATATGTTTATAATTTATAAAATGTTTTTAACAGATGGTATTTTTATAAGTGTATTGTTATAATTATAAGTCTTGCTCTATGAAACATCTTTTGGAAATATTTCATAACAATTGAAAAAAACAGCAATCGCAATATTGCGCTATCGACGAAATACATTTACAAACTAAGAACATTACCACTAAGTATCGGCGTTGTTCATTTTCGTTAGCCGCAGTAACCGCAGAAATATTTCGAAGGAGAGATAGTGCTTTTCATTTAGAAATGTAATCAAGACATTGGTAAGTTTTGGATAATACAGAACTCGTATTAATTAAACACATTAAAAATTACAGAAAACAATAGGCCCAAGGGCCTTAACGGTCACCCGAGTTCTGATATATTTATACAGAGAGTTGATTTAAGTTTTTAAAACATGAAATATTATTCAGTGACAAAAAACAATAAAACCACCTTTTTCAATATCTAGCATACAGATTTAAGACTGAAAAGTATTTGAAACTAGAATTTCTTATTCTAAACAAGGGAAATGAAGATTTTAGCACACTGACACCTTTGGGCTCCGCCCTACAGCCCTTGGGGGTAGGGCTGGCTCAATTTTTTTAAAGTATCAAACTGTCAACTCAGGGTTATAATTCCAATCCAGTTATCAACATGTAATATCCAAACTATGCCAATATAAACCATATTACATTTTGCCACCCCCCCCCCTTCCCCAGGGGTAAACGTGAGACCCTAGGGCCATAAAATTCACAATTTTGGTAGAGCACCTTAAAACCCTTCCATCTATGAAGAGTATTTCATATCTTGATCTTGAGAAGAAGATTTTGAAATTTCAGTCAATTCGCACCCATCAGCCCCTGGGGGTCAGTCAGGGCTGATATGTGCATACCATCTAACTGCTATCCGATACTGATAATGCTAACCCAAATTGAATTACTTCCAATGGGAATTAAACAAATGTTGGTCCGAAATGTGATTTCCAAATATAAACTTTAGTAAAGTTTACCCCCTCCCCAGGGTGAAACGTGAGACACCAGGGTCATGAAATTCATAATTTTGGTAGAGCACCTTAAAACCATATTGTATCTGGGTCTTAAGAAGATTTTGAAATTTCAGTCAATTCGACCCTTTTTGGCCCCACCCATCAGCCCCTGGGGGTCAGTTAGGGCTGTTATTTGCATACCATCAAACTGCTATCCAATAGTGATAATGCTAACCCAAATTGGATTACTTCTAATGGAAATTAAACAAATGTTGGTCCAAAATGTGATTTCCCTATATAAACTATAATAAAGTTAACTCCCTCCCCAGGGGGAAACATGAGACCCCAGGGTCAGGAAATTCACAATTTTGGTAAAGCACCCGAAGACCCTTCCATCTATGAAGAGAATTTGATTCTGCCATATCTGGATCTTGAAAAGAACAATCTTGAAATTTTAGTCAATTGAAATTGAAATTGGTCCAGGGGTTTTGGAGAAGAAGTTGAAAATGTCAATTGTTTACGGAAGCACGACGGACAAAAGGTGATAAGAATAGGTCGCTTGAGACTTTGTCTCAGGTGACCTAAAAATGAACTATTGTAGATGAGGAACAAATGCAATTGATGAAAAATATTACCAATGTACAACTTCAAAATTTTGTTGTTTCTGCTTTCAGATTATTGTTGGGACAAAACCAACAAATACTTTAGCAAACATCAAACTAATGCTATTTAAGAGATGCTATCCCAGTCAAACCCTTCACTCCGTTCCCGTATAAAACACTATTGTATAGTATATAAAACACTATTGTATAGTATATAAAACACTATGGTATAGTATATAAAACACTATGGTATAGTATATAAAACACTATGGTATAGTATATAAAACACTATGGTATAGTATATAAAACACTATGGTATAGTATATAAAACACTATGGTATAGTATATAAAACACTATGGTATAGTATATAAAACACTATGGTATAGTATATAAAACACTATGGTATAGTATATAAAACACTATGGTATAGTATATAAAACACTATGGTATAGTATATAAAACACTATGGTATAGTATATAAAACACTATGGTATAGTATATAAAACACTATGGTATAGTATATAAAACACTATGGTATAGTATATAAAACACTATGGTATAGTATATAAAACACTATGGTATAGTATATAAAACACTATGGTATAGTATATAAAACACTATGGTATAGTATATAAAACACTATGGTATAGTATATAAAACACTATGGTATAGTATATAAAACACTATGGTATAGTATATAAAACACTATGGTATAGTATATAAAACACTATGGTATAGTATATAAAACACTGCGGTATAGTATATAAAACACTATGGTATAGTATATAAAACACTATGGTATAGTATATAAAACACCGCATCAAGTATCATGTTGTCGTGACATTACATGTCATATTCTAACAAACAGGATCTTTAAAGTGTCAAACTGATTGGCTTCAGTAACCAGCCACTAGAAAGTGACCCCTGGTGTTGTGTTATCAGATACTACACCATAACATATCGCACATGATCGGAGGGAAGGATTTTATTTTAATTAGATTGCTAGACTGAAAATCCGCTCATCAAATTAAACATCGAAGACAAGAACTAACAGTATAATCCTTTCAGAATTCTGAAAAACCGAAAAGGAACGCAAAACCCCATAACGAATACGTTTTCTTAACATAAAACACATCTTCTCATTTTTATGAAGTGTGCTTTTAAATCATTTGGAAAGTGCGAGTATTTGCGTTGATATCTAAATCCTTAAATGAATAAAAACGTAAATATTGAAATAATAATATTATAATTACTTTTAGTCACAAAAACAAAATGTCAATGAAATATGTTATGATAACAGAATGAATACCATTTTCAATGAAAGAAATACTTGTATAAAGATATAATATTCAAAACCACTAGCAAGTTATTTGAACGATTTAGTATCTTAATGTCAATGTGGCATATCAATATAGCATACATCTGTGAAATAATAACATAGATTTTTCAAAGCACCACAATACACGCATCTACCCACTAATAGCACAACATCGCATAAACTACATATCAAATGGTTCATTTACATGATGTTGAGCAGATAAAAGATAATTCAAGAAAATGAATCAAAGGTGAAATTAATAAAAACAAAACCCCCAAAATTAACGACGCATCCGCAGAAAACATATACTATATATAGCTCAAAATGAAGCTCTAATATGATATAAGCAACACACAACAATGTGTATATTAATCATACATATCACAATATCAAAATACATATACAACATACAACAATGTGTATATTAATCATACATCTTACAATATATAAATACATATACAACATACATGAAACAGTGTTTACACAACATACAATGTGTTTACACAACATACAATGTGTTTACACAACAAATATCTGGCAAACAATGTGTATTCACAAATAAAGGTTTATCTTGTGCAAGTGTATAAAATATCATACAGGGTGGCTGCGATTTATATATGATTGAGGACTTCATATTAAAACAGGTTGGCTACAATTGTTTTTAGATATACAGTGAATCACGTTAAATTTTACGTGTAGTCCTACGTCGATATGTTCTCTTTAACCGAAATTTCCTACAAAGTTAAGTTCAAATTTTCCATGTGTTTTAACATAATCATTTGTTTATATTATGAAGTAGACTCCAATACGCTGAGAACCGACAACGGATTATCATAATCGTTTTAAATACAAAGAGTTACGACTTTGGTTATTATTATTTGTATCTGTCTATTATGACTCTCAGACTACCAGATGGTCAAGCTATCGTAGTATCCTTTGTCTTTTGTATTGTTTGTATGTGTTTATAAATCCCATATAATATAACTTTTGTTCATGCATTGGCCACTGTTTCTATGAAATCTGTTGAAAAACTAAAATCAGCTAAGATAAAATTCCATTATTTAGTTCAAAATCATAAATTTAGTTCAAAATCATAAAAATGCTTGTGAGTTTTTTAATTTTGTAAATAAAAAAAAAAACACTTAAGTATGGAATCGGTTTTTGTATATAGAGTTCTATGTCAGTGACTCCATTTAAAGTATTCACTTATGTAAAAAGTAAGGGGGGAATGCATTTATCATGTTTAAATTTCATAGGAATGAAATATCTGTTTATTCAAATTTTCTTGTAAAGATTGCTAATAAATTGTTCAGTTCTGTTTATTTCGCCATTACTGCCTTCCTTAATGAGGGTGAAATAATCACGAATCTCGTATACCAGTACACGGTTTATTCCTTATGCTATTTCACTATAGATATTTTTCCACTCTGAAAGGCGAAATTATCATTGAGCTGTTGTTTTACCAGTAAATAGCGATATTTTACTGGATAGTCTTATCAAACCATTCACAGAAAAAAAAAATCCCGGAATCAGCTAGTTTATGTGAAATATTCCGGTGTTTCCGCTACAAACACATATAATTTTAACAATCATTGATATTCGTTCATAGAATTGTACTTCGGAACTCAAAACGTCATTTATAAAAGAAAGTATAGCCGTATGACGTCAGTGAAGCCAACTCATTCCATTCACTGTAGCAATCGAACCTAATATGATGTTGTCTCTTGTAGAACGTATGCGTGCATTCAGAACGATACTGATACTCGTTCACTAATGACGGGCTGAAATTCAATTCATCAGTTATGAAGGTAAAGAGGTCAATTACACAACAACTTTGAAATACAACATTGAGATCACCTAGGTACTCACAAGCTGACAACAACATGCTAGATTTCGCAACTTTTTCGGCAGCAAATATTAATGACAATAAAAGGAAAGATATTACTGGGGTGAAAACAAGAATTTCGTGGGAGTGGATGTGTCGCCTGCTCAGCGCTTTTAGTAAGAAAAGTGTTTTGGCTTGAGTTATCGCGTAAACAGATATGCCAAAACGCACAAAGTTGAAACTCGACAGAAAAACTCGTAATATGTGTTGAACAATATTGCTTCTAGCATTACCGTACAAAATTTGAAAGGAATTGATTAAAAAATAAAAAAAGTTCCTGCATTAACAACACAATGCCCTTATTTGGCAATAAAAGGGACATCACTCCACCGAAAATGCACGCACACTTCTGAAATGCAAACCCGAGCTTTATTGGTATGCAATATGTGTACTAAGTTTGAGTTCAATCAACCCAAAGGAACTGAAGTTATCGCACGGAAACCTTGTTTCGGACGACGCAACCGACGACGCCGACAACGTAATACCTGTATGTCGCCTCGCGTTGCAGGCGACACAAAAATCAGTGGAAAAATAAAGTGGTGAAACAAAACAATAAAAGAAGCGTGGTATCCACATACCGAGAGGCACGTGAAAAAGTGGGATGACATCGAAAGTATATACTACATCAAGAATAATAATAATTATAGCACATACGTAATAAATATCATGCGGGTTTGGTGGTGAAATTATGGGATATCTCCTCGTGGTGGTCTACTTTCGTCATCATCCTGTTCACCACTCCCTGGGCCTTCCGTTCCTCCAATTTCAAAACCTGTGGGAGAGAGGTAACACGGGACTGTACGTTAAGGGATTACAAGGTGCGTCCACACGTCCTTTGTGAAAAGACAAGTACCATCAAACCGACTTCTGAATGTAAGCGAACATTGTCTGAAACTTACAATACTAAGCGCAGCACTACACCAGAAACCATATTCTGAAGCAATGCACTTTTGCGCCACAATATATATAATAAGCTAGCGATTCATATTTTTTTCATTGCTATTTCAATTTCCATAATGTTTTTTTGGAGAATCGCTTTACTCAACATCATGTACACAACAACGATACCATATAAAGAAAACTATAAGAATGACCCGACATCATATGCATGCAAAAATGTGAAAGAGGTCACACCACACGTGTGTAGGGCTTATCTCGGGATGGTCGACATGCTTGTGATTGGCTAAGGGATGGTGTAAGGAAGTGTCGGTGTTGTAGTTAGCGTCGTAAACTGTCATGCACATGTTTTTGTAGTGCAGGTTTCTCTTATGTGTATTCAACCCTGACAATAAACCCATTTTATCATATTATCTAGTTGGTTTTAAGTTTATTTACCGTTTACATGGTGACGTACATATATACTGCTTCAGTGACAAAACATAATAGCATAGTGACTAGCGTATCTAAATAGCATAACATGTGAAAAATCCATACCTCTAGACACTTATGCTTTGATCTATTTATGAAACTTTTTCTCCACAAGAATGATTTTCCTTAATTCTTTCAAAAATATAATCAATTAACAATTTACATTTTCGAAACAAGGTTATTAGTTCATCGATCAATATTTGCAGTTAAAACAATATCAAGAAATATGGATTCCATCAGTTTGTATCCTAACAACTAGCCATCATAACGAACAGTGACGTACATCTATGTCATATGATTTATCACGTGATTTATGACAGGTGATAAGACAAACATACCTTCTATATGGTGAGGATCCTGTCATGACTTACCACACATTTCCGAGTCCTCGTCCGAATTATCACCACAATCGTCGTTGTCATTGCACATCAGTGAATTGCTGATGCATTTCTTGTTTGTACATTGGAATTGTGATGGTGAACATGGTGAGGGTTTCGTACCTAAAAAACAATAGAAAAAGTCGGCCTCTTAATTATCATATTTCTTTTATTTCCGTGATTGTGCTTCACTATCAATATTCACCGGAACTTTATTTGACAAAAAGAACGATGACAGCAAAATATGCCCTAAATACGTCTGTATATATTTGAATACAAAAAGTGTCTCCGTGCGATCTTAATGAAAATCAATATCTCTACATACGATTTGATTATCAGTTCTTATTGACATATCGTATTATGTTCCTTTCATTGAAAACGCCGATATCCTGCAATAACAGTCTTATAGTCTTATGAATCACTCGACGTGATAACGAGGCTGTGTTTCGGATACGAAATCTTCCCCATGTTCACCATCTCAATGATGTGTAATGATGAAGATGATTGTAATGACAGTTTTGACGAGGATTCGTGACTAAGTGTTAGATATTGACAGGATCACCACCATACCACAGGTTGGTTTGTTGAATCATCTGTAACGATTTACATCGAAAAATAACAGGAATGGTATCCGCCGAGTGAATGATCTGCAAAGGACACTAGTATGCAAGTATATGACATCGGGTTCAATCGAAAAGTAGAGAGAGAAAAGCAACGACACAGGCAAAATATTAAAACGTCGCATCAAAATATATAAAGAGGTTCAAAATGTTGTTCTGATAGAATAAAGATTATATACAAACGTTTTCATTTAATCTGCAAAGCTGGTAAATTAACAAGTAAATCCTAAATAGGCAAATCAACGTCAATGTCGTTATTTCCTATGTGTTGCGGCGTCAATCATGTTAACATACTCATTGGACGGTTTGCAGATATTACTGTACTTGTAACAAAAGGTCCATAATAGTTATTACAAGGTATCATGTAACTATACAACGGCCACATAGGGCGCCGATTCTTTGCTTGANTTCGAAAAGTAGAGAGAGAAAAGCAATGACACAGGCAAAATATTAAAACGTCGCATCAAAATATATAAAGAGGTTCAAAATGTTGTTCTGATAGAATAAAGATTATATACAAACGTTTTCATTTAATCTGCAAAGCTGGTAAATTAACAAGTAAATCCTAAATAGGCAAATCAACGTCAATGTCGTTATTTCCTATGTGTTGCGGCGTCAATCATGTTAACATACTCATTGGACGGTTTGCAGATATTACTGTACTTGTAACAAAAGGTCCATAATAGTTATTACAAGGTATCATGTAACTATACAACGGCCACATAGGGCGCCGATTCTTTGCTTGATAAATCATTAGGAAAGTAGTTCATCGAATAGTGTGTTGTCTCTTATGAGGCTATGTAGCATGATGCCGTGCAGACTGTGCAGCTGACGTAAGTATTTCATGAGATCTACGTAACACACGGCGCTGACGTATATAAGACTAACGTAAAGATTTTATGCAGTCTACGTACCACACATGATTGATTTGACAAAAGCATTTTATGATATGTACGTACCACACACGTCTGACGTTTACATTGCATGATATCTACGTAACATACACGTCTGACGTATACATTATATGAGATCTACGTACCACACATTACTAACTTAAACATTTTTTGAGATCGACTACGTACCACATACGGCTTCGGATTCGTCTGATGCATCGTCACAGTCTCCGTAGGTATCACACTTGAAGGCACCAGGAATGCACTGACCACTGTTACAGCGGAACTCGTCCGGGTTACATCTGGGACCTGTCTCGGAACAATGAAGCATGGTAATACCCCACATACACACGGCGTGTACCTGGGGTGTACGCTACACATACATTTAAACACTCATATTACTAGGTGACGGTTTAATGAAAATAGAACTTGTTAGTATTAGTCAATAACTGACCAGGGTACAGGTTATGTGGAATACTAAACACTACAGTGACGATAAAACGACACAGCACACCAGAAACAGAACACAGACCATATAACAGTATACTAATATCTCTTTAGCAATAGTCCAAAACATCAATCAGTTAATGGAAAATTCCAAAAACAGTAAATGCGTTCAGTGCGCTTTAATGGGAAATCCAAAATTTGAAGAAAAGTCAAGAAATGAAAATTCAATTGAAAATCCCAAAGTTTAAGAAAATGTCAATCAATGTTTAACCAATACAAAAAATCTCAAAGTTGAGGAAAACTCGAGACTATAGATGTTTGACACAAGTTGAGCCAGCAAAGACGTCTTCGTCAGAGATCTTTTCTCTGTTAAGAAGATAAACCTAAGACACACACATGTGACTGCACCATTAACATTTGGTAATAGATACAGCCCTACACTGCACCATACTGCTGTTCCGTTCTAGATACAGCCCTACACTGCACCATACCGCTGTTCCGTTCTAGATACAGCCCTACACTGCACCATATCGCTGTTTCGTTCTAGATACAGCCCTACACTGCACCATACCGCTGTTTTGTTCTAGATACAGCCCTACACTGCACCATACCGCTGTTTTGTTCTAGATACAGCCCTACACTGCACCATACCGCTGTTTCGTTCTAGATACAGCCCTACACTGCACCATACCGCTGTTTCGTTCTAGATACAGCCCTACACTGCACTATACCGCTGTTTCGTTCTAGATACAGCCCTACACTGCACCATACCGCTGCTCCGTTCTAGATTATCCCCTTCACTGCACCATACCGCTGTTTTGTTCTAGATACAGCCCTACACTGCACCATACCGCTGTTTCGTTCTAGATACAGCCCTACACTGCACCATACCGCTGTTTCGTTCTAGATACAGCCCAACACTGCACCATACCGCTGTTCCGTTCTAGATACAGCCCTACACTGCACCATACTGCTGTTTCGTTCTAGATACAACCCTACACTGCACAATACCGCTGTTCCGTTCTAGATACAGCCCTACACTGCACTATACCTCTGTTACGTTCTAGATACAGCCCTACACTGCACCATACTGCTGTTTCGTTCTAGAGACAACCCTACACTGCACAATACCGCTGTTCCGTTCTAGATACAGTCCTACACTGCACTATACCTCTGTTACGTTCTAGATACAGCCCTACAATGAACCATACTGCTGTTTCGTTCTAGATACAGCCTTACACTGCACCATACCGCTGTTTCGTTCTAGATACAGCCCTACACTGCACCATACTGCTGTTTCGTTATAGATACAGCCCTACAATGCACCATACCGCTGTTTTGTTCTAGATACAGACCTACACTGCACTGTACTGCTGTGTCGTTTTAGATACCGCCCTACCACTGCACCATACCGCCGTCCGTTCTAGATACACCCCTTCACTGCACCGTACCTCTATTTCGTTCTAGATACAGCCCTACACTGCACCACACCTCTATTTCGTTCTAGATACAGCCCTACCACTGTTTCGTTCTTCTAGGACTCATTGGTGATGCTAGGGGTTTGTAATGTTTGGAGAGATGTGATTAACTAGCGTGATGGGGAGGACACTGGAATTATCTGTCTGTTTATTTTACACCTGCATATGAATGTCGATAGAGTATCCCCTGATTTTGTTTGTATATCAAGCGATAATAGATGCGTCAACACACTATTAATAAATCAGCGTAATGGAACAATAATCTTTTCCCCGAAAGATGGGATTCCATACAGCCATGGCAATACTAAAACACAGGTTTGGATAAGAAACTATTTTATTGGAAATGAAATACAAACGTCGTAACTATACATTTTTTTCTTTTCTATACATCTTCCAGAGGGTAAAAAGCAGTGATTTCAATTTGCTTATTATGAATAGATAATTCAATCCAAGAAAAGATCTCATGATAAAGGAGAGGAAATCTAGTGTCAATAAGAATACAACCCAAGAAAGTACATCTTTGGAGGCGTGAATATCCGAAGGACGTATCAATACATATAGAAATGATTCAATATCAAATGTTAACAGTAATCTTAGTGAATATATGACTAAAAGGCAAATTAAAAAGAGAGAAAACATCCAAAGAACATGACACGGTAGAGGAGTAGATATAGACATACATCCCAGTGGTAGTACTGAACAACGTTATATGAGGTAGATACGAGAAAACCTATGGAGAATTGATGTCGGAAAGAACAATGAAAGACAAACACAAACCAAAGTAAAGAGGAGTGAAAAGTGAAGGATATACACATGTATATTTGAGCCATCGTCAACAGGACAAACAAATATATAGACGTGTGATTGTCCAAAGAGACGACAACGCTTTTAGAATATGCAGAGTACACTGTACATGCTGAGAACTATCCAAAGTGAGACATATCTAATATTATTGAAAAATATTATCAAAAAAAATGCGATTGAGGAAGACATTGTTATATACAAAAAAGTTATTTTATTGCTGGATGTTTTGGTAAGAAATGACAACAATTTTTAGAAAGGAAATAATGTACATCTAAATGCCAATAGATAAAATTAAAGCACGCTATTGTATCATAAGTTAGCATGCACGTGACTGATCTGTACAATTATATTATAATTGATAGAAATGATTTTACAAGGAAGTACTATTTATCTAGATTTCATTTTTTTCTCGTGTAAAAACAATTTCACAAGATCTGAAATGTTTGGCAACCTGTTTGAAAACAGACTTTTATACGCCTAAAAAATATTTCTGCATCATTTCTCTCTGTGTTTCATTTCAATGTAATTACTTTTTAAGACATAAATTGAATGAAATTACTTTACATCAATTAGATCAGGGTTTATGTCTGTCTTACTATATATGACAATATATCCAAACGACACAGTTAGTACACACGTAACAATAGAGACGTTTAAAACAGTTCGTGCGACACCACCACGCGTAATACAATACACATGTAAACATTTAACATGTTAACACAAGTTGATGGAATATTTTATCAAATCGTCGAAACATCTGGAAAAGATGAAAACATTATGGTGTTATTCAGGAAAATAACTTATTACCAGAATATATAATGTATCTATTGTTAACAGTATAACAGTATATATGTACGTCACCATTTAATAATATTATCAATATTTATCACGTGACTAAAGCCATCCCATCACCTCCTATTCTAGCATGAGTATATAGAAAGCGTGTGAATGTGTTTTATCAAAGCCGAGTAGCTTTTATGTTTGAAGTAGGTAAAGTCGTTAGGGCAATGTGTGAAATTATATTAATAATGGCCATGTTTTCGTGGTTGACTTGTTGAATTGAATAGTCCCGTCAAAGTCAGTGTTAGTTACATATGTACTAATGTTTTGTATCACATAAAAGCGTAAGAACGTAGTCTTAACAACCCAGAATGATGTTTAAGCTAACCCCAATACTACCAATGATTTCAATATGTATCATGTTCGAGGTAGATTGAATCGTCAAAACGAACTCCTATTACCACCAAAACGAGAATCTTTACCAACAAAACGGGAAAATCATTTCCTATGAAACCAAACACCCGTTACAAAAATAACTGAATAAACGAGAACATATTACAAAAAAAATAACAACCAACAAAACAACAATCTATTACCGATAAAGCGAGATCCAATTTCCAACAAAAACGAGAACTTATTGCCAACAAATCAGTGGTTTCCACTGCTATAGTGATGCTGATTAACCAATACAAGTTTCAGACGTCCTGTAACAGTACCAACAAATCAGTGGGTTCCACTGCTATAGTGATGCTGATTAACCAATACAAGTTTCAGACGTCCTGTAACAGTACCAACAAATCAGTGGGTTCCACTGCTATAGTGATGCTGATTAACCAATACAAGTTTCAGACGTCCTGTAACAGTACAAGACCATAGTGTCTTCCCTATGGCACGATATGTTTCCGACAAACCAGCACTACGTCGTCAGTCTATCATTACAATCAAAATGAAGTGCAACACAGCACACGTAAACATGTCGCCTAAGTTTTAACGTACACATTTTCAACTAAAATCATATGGATGGCTGAGAAATGTCCACCGAATATATACTACATTTGTATGTGTTGTCAATAATATGTGTGCGCCTTCTTTCACCAGTACGTACAACATCACCAGTATTATCGAAAACAATACCAGACTCCCATACCAGTCTGTCACTATAATCAATACACGCGTTTCTAAAAACGTGGTCACTAGGCAGGGTAGTTACAGTCAAATGGAAATAGGTGCTAAGAGAAGTGCTACTTGCGCTAACCCTGAAATGTTAGTAGTCCGTCTTTTCGTATTGCAGAGTTATCTGCTCTTGTGAGCAGGTATTGATTTTTACATAATTAGTTTGTGTGAGAAAATTACAACGTTTTCTCAAAAAGTTATGACGTTACTCTCACAAATAAATGACGTAACAATCAATACCTGCTCACAAGAGCAGATAACTCTGCAATACGAAAAGACGGAATAGAGAAATGAAAAAATCTTCCTCTGTCAGTTTAACACCCGTTGGTGTTCTGTTGTCGAGAATTCATAACATTAACCAATGCTCGTTGTTTCGTAACAAAATTAGTGTTATCATAAATAGTTCACACCAGAAATGGGGATAAATGTTAGAAAAATGAAACGGAATAGTACAAGCTCACCACACCTGCAGCTGCTAGTTACATCATACATGATGTAGCTGCTAGTGACGTCATACAAGATGTAGCTGCTAGTGACGTCATACAAGATGTGACAATGATAACATACCACAGTTAGCTGTTTCTCCTTCGTCAGTTCCGTCCTCACAATCGCTGTTTCCGTCACATAGAAACGATGGCGGTATGCATTTCTTCTTATCACACAGGAATTGGCTTTCTGGACATCTCACTGTTACTGGGCCTGAACGAAAAACAACAACAGCTTACCAAAGTTTACAACATGCCATGCCTGAACGAAAATCAACAGCTTACCAAAATTTACAAAATGCCATATTGCTTGTCCATCACCCTGGCTACCTAAAATAAGTATCAACATATAGTGAAGCGTCATAGATGACGACAGTGCAGATTCTTATTAATAGGAGTGACCTGGTTCTTGTTCAGCACACGAAGAATTTACTTGTAGAAAACAACAAAAAGTGGCAATAACATATGATAATACAAGGAAATATCAGATACAATTTTTCTTCAACACCCTCCACTGGGATGACAAATCTATTTGATAACAGGTTTTGAGTTAACCTAAAAAGAAATAAGCAACTGAAATATTAATATTGCTAGGTCTGCTTATTAATTAAGAAAAATACTGTAATTAAAAACAATCTTTACATACGTGAAATAGATTGTATTTGTATCGCCATCGTTCAAAGGACAAAGAGTTTGTATGCATATATATTTTTAAACAAATCTCTGACTAAATTTGGTCAATATGAAGTAACGCTGAGAAGAGCCGATAAGAAGATATCTAATATACATATGTAATATTTTACACGTAGCTTATTCAAATTTCACAAGGCTTGGAATACCAATCTCATATTGTCGGAAACGTTATCAATTTAATCAATTATTCATCCGTAGTCCGAAATATTCTGATAATTCCCTCGGTCTAGAATATTCAGATTTTTTTCGTTTTTTCCCACTTGGTGATCTTACTTTTAACTTCCTGTTACACAAAACCACCAGAAAGGGGAACGCTTAAACCTTTTCATAACCGACATCATCTACACGGAATCTGGCGATGATATTTCTTTAGGCATAATTTAATACAAGGTTAGGAATATTGGGCAGTTTTTGTTGTAGGATACAATGTGCTATCGCCGAACTCCACGTTTACGCTTAACTCCAACTTCTAAATTCGACTTCCTATCTCGAGCGTGAGACGTACTTTTTCTCATGAAAGATTTTATACGTAAAGTCGAGCGCTCGAGATAATTAATAAAGAACAGGAGTTTGTGCATGTCCTAAACGTAGCACCGTAAAAATGTTATGTGCTTGGGCGAGAATTACTCACAGTTTCGCTCGTCAGAACTATCCGGACAATCGGGGATTTCATCACACTTGAACTGGGCACCAATACATGTTCCATCTGCACACGTGAACTGGTCCGCTGAACAACCTGTTGATGAGTACAAACTAGACAGAATTCCAAATAGTAACTTCTTGGTAGTTGTTTGTAAAATACCTCAATAGTCTTAACTTATAACAGTACATGTTAACCTTAAAGTAACTTTAAGTTTCAAAATAAACTGTCTGAAAGAAGGACGTCTTTTAATTAATAATCTTGAAGGATTGAATCTTGCTTTGGTCGATTTCATGGTGTGATGAATTCAGTTGGTCATGAAAACAAATTTTATGAACTGCGTAGCGTTTAGATATCAATTGTTTTGACCCGTCCTCGCGGGAAAATAATGTCTATACGCGGTGCGCAGGCTCAGCTGCGAGTCTCCGGCAGCCATCATTTTACTAGCTCGAAGTGGAGAGCCGCAAATCGTGGTTCAACATCTTCTGGAATGTGAAGCTGCAGTAATTGAATGTCGAATTTGACAGGAAACAAGACGTGGCTTGAAAGGACGAATCAATTTGATATGGCAGTGGACTGTTCGACTGCATTTCATATATGACGTGACCACATGAATGTTATTCACGTTGACTGATAAAAGGCAAAATGGGTAGCTGGAGGGAGAATTTCTAGGGCAGTGCATGACTTGTCACTACCGCTAGCAACCGTGAGCTGATAATATTTTGTTGAATTTCTTGTGTAGCTTCAATAGAAATGTAAAATCTCATACAAAAAAAGTATTTTCTTTGTTTTCAAATGTCAATAGTTATCTCCCTTCGCAAAATTTGAAAATATGTATTCATACGCACAGGCATGTTAATCTGATCAAATTCATCGGCAAATGAAACAGGTTACATTTGGTAGTTGAACTGAGTCGAACTTGAGTAGAAATTGAAATATGAAGTGTTATAAAACTCCGATATAATTATAGAAACAAAATACAGGGACATGTCTCATTCCAACGGTGGTCGTACGGTAACACAAGCATGTCCCTGTGTAAAAGGGTTCGGATAATGTTAAAATCTCCTCACATATAAAACGCAGGTGAGCAGAAAATATATAATCACTGACAAAGGAGCACGATACTAAGATGCCCACATACCCTATATAATACACATATATACGGACAATGGGGGCACGTGCCAACGGTGTCATGGTTAAAATAGGATAATTATTTGGAGTAGCCTCCCCTTACCTGGGCGAGGTGTGGTGGGTGCTGGGGGGACAGGTTGAGGTGGTATAACTATTATTGTTTTATTAAGCTCGTCTATCTGTTTCTTTATTCCTATAAGGTCGATTTCTAAAACTTCCACTCGGTTACAACAGCGAGTCATATTCGTTATAAGCGTCTGGAAAATAAGGACGAAATTATATTACAACAATTTAATATGATAGGAAGTACAAATTTTCAAGTGGAAATCAATATTATATCAAAGTTGTATTATTTCTAAATTATATGAATAGGAGTTCAAGTTATACCCTTATCTTGGCACATTAAAGTAACCATAAAAAGGCGTTCACTAATTTAAGAAAATATCGTTCATGCTCATTTACATCTATTATTTTCATTATGGATTAAGTAAACTTTTTCATATATTTCTTAATCAATGATTTACCTGTATGGTTCTTTCAAGTTCTTTTATCCTCTCTGAAATATAAAATCGTTGAAGAATTATATTTGAAGCAGCTCTCTAAATAATATGTAAACACTTACAACTTAAAATCATAAATCAAGCGTATAGAAATTTGGAAGAGTAAATACGTACCCATATCTACGTTTGTTCCATCCCTTCCGTTCTGCCCGTCTCTTCCATCCGATCCATCTTGGCCATTTATCCCATCAACGCCGTCCCGTCCTGGTTCTCCAGAAAAGCCGGGTCTTCCATCATTTCCGGGGGGTCCTGGAGGTCCGAATGGTCCTGGAGGTCCGGCGGGTCCAACGGGTCCCGCTTCTCCTTTTTCTCCTTGTAACCCTGCTGTATACTATCACTATACCACAGAATGATAAATGTTATCAAAAGAAAAAATTAAGATGCATGCATTTTCTTTGACAAAGCAACCGGACTAATGCATGAATAGTCTACCAAGTAGTAGAGTAGTTTAGAAGCTTTAAAAAAAATCTTTCCATGTCTCTTAGGGTTAAATTTACTGTTAATACTTAAATATGACGAGACATTGTGTGTGCACTTTTACGCTGTTCCCTTTAGGTGTATGCTATCACGTAATACCTTTCGAAAGGACTTCACAACACCGGTCGATTTGAAAAACACCACAAGACATTTTCACTTGATACTTTTAATAGCTGTCACAAGATAACAAAGATGTGCTCACCTGCATATTGAATTACACCATTGTTCTCATCTCTAAGGAATTTATTGAAGTAATGTACTACCAATTGAACATCCAGATCTCGTTAAAATGTTAAACTAACATAACAGCTCGTCCAACAGAGGAGACTAATGGAGGAGTAAAGGTGGGTATTTTTTGGGACAGTTCGTCAATTATATATCAATTCTCGGGGCGTGGCATGTCACTCAAGACATCCTTACGCCCACGGACAGAAAATAATAGGTGCCTACATCGGCTTGGGACATTCAATGCGACATCAAGTGCGTATTCTTCTTTTGGGATAACAGTAGAAATCATCACACCTTCCTCGGCTTAAATTCTTAATGTATTGCTAGCTTGATATGTCTGTATGACATTTACTAGATTGGCAATTTTATAATCTGTCTTTTTTGTTATATTAAATACTCATGTCATGTGTAAGTATTATTTCTAGAAATATCATGGAAGTTCTGTTTTTTACCAATTTCTGTTTTGTATCGAGATGCTTTTTTTAGCAAAATAAACATTTTGAGGAAGAAGGTTGATTAGACTCTGAGTAACGATTCTCTACAATGTATAGGCTACCGTGTGATAACATTATGGTGACTTGATCCTTTAGCTCCACTTCTGTTTTCTTCCGATTGATAAACAGTTTGTTCAATCGCTTCGTCTATGTATAAACATGCCAAGAAAAACTGACATGTTTGAAATAAAAAAAATAAAAAAATAATCAAGTGATTCAATAAGATTGTCGATGAATACATTATTAACTTTTTGATTTATTTACAGAAGTTCTTAAACAGGTGGATAGCACTGTCAAAATGCCCAGTGGTGTAATAGCCAAGCAGGTACAATATATATATAGGACGGTCTGCAGATGTTCAAATACAGACTGTGTTGACTTAATAGAGCTTAAATAATTAATATTGTATGTTAAGTGTGAGTGCCATTACATCGAATAACAAACTATGTTTTTTTTTAATAACAGAAAATCGATATTGGAAATATTGGATTTAATTGGATAAAAACCTGTTTTATTATTATAAATGTTTGACTCGGGTGATGCAATTTAGATACTGGTATGTATAGTACGGTGCGTGTAGTGTACACTTACTAGGGTTTCATGTGAACATTGTCACCCACACCTTATGGAAATATTTACATATCAACCTGATCGTTTTTAANATAACTGGAAATAAAATAGCATAGCGGAAATCGTTAGCAACAAATCAATGAGGTGATCTCGGAAAACCTCTACAAAACACTGAAGTCGAACCCTGGTGGTTCAAAAAAAGTCAATATGATTCCTGAAAAAAGCATCCAGTAGAATATTTGGGAAACAGCGATATACGATGCAATAACCATGGATATAAGGAATAGCAATGATTGTTTGGGTGGTATACGGTATATATCTTATCGGAAATTAGAATTACAAATACCACGCCCGACATTGCGGTATATGACGTCATCCCATCCATTTCAGAATACCTCAAATCTCAAAAGCAAATACAAGGAATTTAAGGCTTATTTTCAAAGCGGCTTATTTTCAAGACAACCTTGTTCTCGAAGCAATTTAGACTGTAAGGTATTTACAGCACAATATTAAGGCCATTTTAATTTTGAAGCCTTTAGAACGATCCATTCCATAGTTTACTTATTTACAAAACATATGCAAAACCATTTATTTTTTTTGGTGCTAAAATAAAGTTAAATACAATTTGATAACATAAAAATATCTACAATTGAGGGAATAGCGAAAATTGAATTATTAAAATTATAACAGAAAATGAAATGTAAAAATAGTATTTTAAATTAGAATTTTTATAAAACCGGTCCGTTGAAATTTAAGACGCGTGCTAGTCTATCACTTTTAAGTCAAAGTATCTGATACCGAAGGCAAAACGCATGACAGTATAATGGTAATGACGTCACTGTCTATAACTAAGATGTATTTACAAAACATATCCATATAGAATGGAATTAGCTCGAATCTGCATATAAATATAAATAATAAATAGTTCAATAACTAGTTTAATAGGACGTTGTTCGAACTTGATTTTGCGGCGTTTGACTGTGTTTTATGGTTAAGTATTCGAGGTCAATTCATCAGCAGATATAATTGATTTTCTTAAGTGATAAACATTAGAAAGTGTGCAGAGCCTGGGTACTAGATGGATTCTGCACACTCTGGTCGACGCTCGCTGCTGATAGGGACCTCCAGCTGGCGGACCAAGTGTTTGCTCAGTTGTTCTTCCGAGGCGATGATAGGTTTAGGTGCTGATTGAGGCCAGAACATGGCGGGTCTCGTTTGGATATAGGTGTAATAACATTTACAGTTGGGGAGCTCGCCTGACATTTTAATTTACTTAGTCTTAAAGACAGCTGACGATTTCGCTCAGAATGTTTCAAAACTCACTGCGGAAGTATGCAAATATACTTCTTCGAGTAAATCAACATTTAGTCTTAACGGTGCAAGACCGGGAACTAGCATTTTCCATGAATGTAAAAATGCACTGCAAATTGTGCGTGAAGTCATTTCCAGGCTCTCCTCTGATCTTTTGTCAGGCTAAATGAGGCGACCGTGTACTTTTGATCATTTTTATGCTACAAGCATATGTTATGTTCATTATGACTTGGTTATTACATACACATAACATATGTCTTCCTTTGTTAGTGTTCCCCGTCACTCCGTGTTAGAACTATATATCGAGGCTTTAGAGGAAGTAAACGGACAACACATGTGCGTATTTACCTTGGTAACACACACATAAAGCTCAAGGAGGAAAGATATAACAAGCGTGAAATAGACATATCATTGGTCCTAGACCTCACGCTACCGGGCCCATCAGCCAAATGATCCGTGAACAACAAAGCGAATCCAAACTCGTGATAATTTGTCTTCATCAGCGTTATAAACATATCACCATTACTAAATGGGCATGTTTACAAGTGATATTTGCGCGCACCGTGTCGAATGAGAAACATCGGATTCCACCAGGGATGATGGCCTAACCGGCTTGTTTCAGCAGCTGGAACAGCGACGGCAGTGTCAGGATCTCTCGTTGACAGAATTACAACACCCCAACATTTCAAACACTTTCTTTGTCCCCTTAGGTCGAGTTGACAACACCCATAATATATCGCTTTTAAAGTGTGATGGGTATAAAATTCATAAGTTCCCCAACAAAAAGGGTAATAATTTACCAGGACAGTCTTCGTCTGTCCCTATCAGTAGAACTCTTTGACTATGCGGAGAACAAACGCCTTTTGTGCTAACTGTATATCCCCGAGCTATTGGTTCCGAGTTAACAATTTTCACGGTATGTCGTTTCTGCTAGACAGACACGTCTTCCAGATTCCTTGAAGTTGGAACAACGTGTCAGATTTGTTCTGACTTGTCTCGGGACTATTTCATGGTTGAAGATGAAAGGTATTAGATATACGATGATAAACATTTTAAATCCTTTGTTTATCTATTTATCCCAACTACGACAACAAATATATACTGGTTTAAAAAAAGGCTTTTCATAAATTTATAAAATCTTCTTAAACGGAAACAATGATATTTTTTTGTGACAAAAGCACTTGGGAATAATCTTTCCGATCATGATGGTGTTATCTCAGATTCAAAATAATCTCAAAGCTAATTTGATATATGTTCCAATACAAAATTCAATTTAATTCGAAATAATTGCTAATTTTTTTATAACAAAATTTATATTTTTATTGGCGCGAAATATTTATAACACAAGAAATCCCAAACATACCTAAGACAAAAAAAAACCCAGATGCTCGTCCTTCTCAATAATATTGCACACTTTCTTTTCAATTCAATTCAATTCCATTTAATGACTGTAGGCCTTTTCATCGGCTCAATATTTTGTTGTAGTGGGTTTGTTTTTTTGTTTTTTGTTTTTTTTAAATTTCCTGTATCTATTTGTTTCTCCAAATCATGTTCAAATAGTACAAAATTGATGTGGTACATACGAACAGAAATGTCAACAATTATTAAATAAGGATTTGGACGATAACATATATTTGGACTTCTTTTACAAGAATATTTTGTAACCGTCACTTGCACCTCGGGACAATACACCACTTGCGGTAGGCAGATTATTTGAAGAAGAGATGAATAAAATTTATAAAAATAAATAAATATTGTAAATGTGTTTTTGAGAATATAATTTCTATTGTATTTTTTGTAGTCTTTATGTAGCTATGCCATGAAGAGAGTGCTTCTTTGCCAAATGATTGTTGAATTTGTTGTTTTACATACTACAGGAAAGCAACAACAGAACATGTTATATAATAGGCAATCCAATAATTTGCAAAAGCCATCACAATTCTAAAAGAATGTTCCAGATATGTTTGGTAAATATGGCATCAGAGCACAAATTCATTCATGTTTTTAATGTGTATACGATCAAATAAAGCAAACTGTATTTTGACTAATTTTGAACGTTCCAACATATAGAAAATACCTCCATATCCCGCCTACACAAACAACAGCAAAAATATACCTATTCCTTTCAATCTAATAGAGTGATTTTTATATGCAGAATGTAATCAAGCAATCTTTAGATTATTATTGATAATTTAATTTCCTTTAATTCTTACTAAAATTGTCAAAAATTATGACACACG